ACGATCCTCATGTGAGTATTATATATTTGCAATTTATATTATACATACATTTACTCGGCTCGATACATGCTCGTTAACACATTGAAATATGATATGTCAGCTCGAAGTTCACGCTGGGTTGGTTGTTTCGATGGAAGAGAAGAATCAAATATATGTACGTGAATTACATGTTCCACCTACTAAAAACGATCCAGTGTTTGAGTCTGTTCCAAATAGAAATAAAGTACGTTTATTTAAGATCATAATTTATTCTGACTTATAATATTCATATGTGGATTATTAATATTAATTGTCTTCTCTGTGTAGGAGCATCATCCAGTAGAACGACGAGCACTTCCACTTAGGAGATCTCCTTTGTCTCCACCGATGAGATCTCCGTCACCTCCACCGATGAGATCACATCTACTGCCATTATCACATTCTCCGAGGAGATCTCCGTCTCCCGCACCCACCCACCTCCCATGTGGATCGCCTGCACCCAATCAGACCCGTCATTCAAATGATTTCTTTGCATGCATGACTGATATTATTAGAGAGGAGCTGGGAACGATGTGACCTGATTTTACGACAGAAGTAGTAGCACTACAAGAGGAGATAGGGGTGCTGCGACGGGATTTTACGACAGAGGTAGTAGCACTACGAGATGAGATTGGAGTGCTGTGACGAGATATAGGAGACCTTCATACTGAGGTTGCAGCACTTCGAGGTGATGTAGCGTGCTTTTGAGGTTTTGACAGTATACATGACAGAGGGAGTGTCGAAGAGACTGGTGTTCCTTGAGATTGGTGGGCAACGGTCACAGGAATCGATGAGTTTTTTGATTCGGTGTCGGAGGCCGGGAGGGAGGGGTAGAGGTCGAGCTGGAGGTGTCAGAGGAGGCCAGGATGGCAGGGATGGAGGTACCGAAGAAGGCCGAGATAGAGGGGGTGGAGAAAGGGATAGGGGTGCTTGAGGGAGGGACAGGGGTGACCGAAGAGGTAGGGGAGGGGACACTAGAGGTGGTAGTAGAGGGGGATAAGGGGTTGTGGAGGATGAAAGAGCGCCAGAGATGACGGATGACGATGTAGTATTCGAGTTGGAGGGGGCAACGGAGGTGCCGAAGGGTAAGAAGCGTGCTAATGACGCCCCAGAGCTAATGATCGGTAAGAGATCGAGATTGCCGTCACAGTACATCGTTTCTCCGTACACGGCCGAGGCGAAGATAAGGGGGTTTGTGGATGAGATGTTCCCCAATCTTTTTCGCAACGTCGACCCAATCAGACAGAAGGCGTTCGATGATTGGTTCAAATTTCTTAAGTTTGAGTAAGTATTTTATGATTTTGATACTCTTTTTTTGTATTTTTCGTAACTTTTTTTTTTCATTTTTCAGAGATAGCTATACCATCGGCTGTATGACCGTGCCAAATGCTAAAAAGTGGTTCGAAGATGTACTGGCGACCTCAACTTGGCTCGTCGATGATGTAAGTTTTTTGAATTTCCATTTATTATGTTTATAGAAGTTGTTGGTTCATTTACTTAAACGACTCTATCTTTTTTGTTGGTGTTTTTTTTGTTTCAGCAGATCGATTTGGCTATGAATTGTTATGCAATCGGGCTCGGAGATACCCGAGATCTTAAGACAGTCCTAGTCGAGTTATCCTGAGCTCTGAGTTTGTTCATGTCGTAGATATTGAGCATAATGAGCTCCTAAGCAAGGGGAATGAATATGTTCTATCGAGTATATGCTGAAGTGGGTGATTGGGCTACAACTGAGGTGCGAAAAGTCGTGGAAGAATTGTACGCATATGTATATTACAGTGATCATGAACTCACATTGTTTTTCAGTGGAGATCATATTTACTGATTCCACTATGTATGTGTACGACTCTTATCATAACTGTCTGACACAAAGTCAACTGGAGCAAATACTGGAGCCAATGGATGTGATCGTGCCCATGATGGCTAGTCATGCGATGATTCGAGTAAATGACAGATTAGCCATTGTGTAGAACATGACGACGGCAAGATAAGAAAGATCGTAAGGATTTAAAACTTTTCATTGTTTAGTAGGATCTGACTTGTACAAAATCAACGTGTATGTCCTATAGCGCCGCACCTTCACTTACGCGATTGTGGAAACTCTCATGTACATCGTATTCTAGACGTCCGTCTACGTCCAGGAGTACGCGGTGGAACTTTAGGTGGCAACAAATTATTAAGTGCTACAATATAATCAGGAACTTCCCACTCGATTTCATTTGGTAGAGGAAATATAGTTTCGGCATACGCTGCTCTCCAAAAATCAACCATGTAATAATGACTGCATAAGCTGTGTGGTGGAAATCCTCTTTACATAGCTACTACGATAGCATGCGCACATGGAAAACTCTCCAACAAAAATTGTCTACACGTGCAGGTATTGTCATTCAAGTCTACAATATATCCAATATAATGCCCGCATCTCACGAAGAAGCGAAATTGATCTAGTGATTCCACAAATAGAGCTTTTGCCATTTCCAGAGTTTTGAATAGTCGATCTTCCTGCGCTAGAGCTAGCACACTTGTGCAATTCTGGAATTCCTCACGTCAGTCATAAAACCACTGTTACAACTTGCTACGAATATGTTTAATCATTGCGAGAATTGGTAACTCTCGATCCTTTTTGAATAATACATTGAGCGATTTCGCATTATTCGACATATTCATGTTGTATTGACGTCCTGAAAAAAGTGATCGTGCCCAATGTTCGACCCCCATATCTGATAGATATTCCTATGCACTTTCTGATTTATGTTCTATTTCGCCCATGAACTTCGTAAACTCTTCAAAGCTGTAAGCTTCTGCATCTATCTTAAACAATGCAACGATGCTATTGCCTCGGTACCTAGTCTTCAGGTTGCTCTGAATGTGGTACATGCAATAACCATGATGTGCTTCCGAAAAAATTTCGACTATATCATTTATTATTGACTGCTCCCGGTCAGTCACAAATGTAGGGTTCTCGATGTCCCAAATTACTTCTCTCAGCTTCGTGAAGAACCAACGCATTGCTAGATCAGTCTCTCCATCGACAATGCCAAATGCAAGAGGGTAAATTTGGATGTTGGTACCTTGACATGTAGCAATAAACTTCCCTTTATATCTAACTTTTAGGGCTGTACCATCAACTAGAATTAGAGGTCGCATATCATTTCGAAAAACCTCTAATGTATTTTTCAAGAGCCATAAAAATACTTGAAGCGATTCTGCCTATCGGTTTCAATAAAAAACGTCGAGTCAGACTTAGTTTTCACCATGTTGTGGCAATACCTGACCAATTTGGCATAACTCTCTTCTGTCGATACCATTAAATCTTCCAATGCACATTCTTTAACCTTCCAAGTCTTCTGGTAACTTATAACCACCCCATACTCCCAACAGTTGTCGTTGATGATATCTGTAGGTCTGTAAATCGTCTGTGGGTCTGAAACTTGTGCATTATTTGTCGACCAATAAATCATGATCGAGCTTGCCTATGATTATTTTGACGAATATCCACTTCACAAGTATGTTTTCGCGCATACTTGCGAACTACAAAGAACTCATTTGTGTCCATATTTGTTGTTCTCAAACGCCAACTGCAATTGTTATCCACACAAATAATTATGTATGTAGATTTGTTTGGTTTTTTTTTTACCTTAAACTCAAAATTATGTTTCATTGCAATTCGGTGCATAGCTTCTTGCAAATCTCTTTTCGTGTCAAACAATTGATCGACGTGTAAATCTTCATCATCAGGAACTATACACGAACAATTAAAAGACCGTGTACTCGGCCCAGCATGTGAACTCCCACCAGACTCATGTCTCTGTCTGAATAAAGCAATCAAATCCTGATTTGTAAATGGCCTTTCATCCTCGTTGTCTTGAACTTCCTCGTAAATCCTTTGTGTAACGGTGACATCATGGCGAGTAGCAACTGTTTCGGTAGTAACCACATCATCCTCACGAGCAATCTCAACAGTATCCCAAAAATCATTTTCGTAACGATCCTCTCCACCGAAAACTTCGTGTTCACCCTCAGGGACATTTTCTTCAACAAAGTTACGCAAATAGGAGTCGTCTTTCGACCTTGGTTCAATTGAATTAGATGCTTTATTTGCACTTCAGAAGTAATATTCAAAGGTGGAATCAAAATTGTTGAATGTTTTTGAAATAAAAATCTCAATTCCACATCGTACTGAGAGGAGTCGACGTTAAGCATGTTTTGTATTTCATTGTACATTTTTCGTAAACGACGTATTTTTTGTTATCAAAATAGCAGCAACCCCTTCTCCTTCACTCGTCCATTTCCATTCCCATTGACCATTTTCTTTCCTTTGAAATTTCCCGAAGTAACAGTTGGGACACATGCTTGTGCCATGTCTGCATTACGAATTAAAAATTATTAGAACAAATTAGATTAGACCAGAACCGGGGGGGGGGGGAGGTCCGTTACAAACGGTCCGAATACGAACTGTTTGGAGTTCCGGCGTCAGATCGGTGCCGACTTGAACTTTGGTTCTAATATTATTTTTTCTACCATTTAAAAAAATATACTACTTCAATAAAAACAAAATTAAATACTAGGAAAAAATATTTACCAAATTAAAGTGCTGAAATTTAACGAAATATTTTTGTTGAGGTTGATAACTGATAAGTTTATGAAATTTTGAGGTTGAAGTGGATGAAAAATGAAATAGTTTTTATCGTATTAGAGTAAACTGATGAGAAGAGTGACTTCGTTTTCAAATCTCAATTGAGAGGTGTTTGAATTTTAATTTGTAACTTAAGGATATTTTTGTCTTTTTAATAGATTTCTATTTTTGTAATTATGTAACTCTTTTAAGGGTATTTTTATCTTTTATACAAAAATAGGTGAATGTCAAATTTTTTTTGTTAAAGTGGAATGTTGGTTGTTTGACATGACCACTCTTAAAAGTACGCCCGCCCCCTACACACCTGAATTATACTTGTGGCGCCAAACGTCCCTTATTGATTAATGTACAAAAGAAATGAATTTGAATGGCTCAAAATTTGCCCAAAAAATACCCCAACTCCAAATCATGACTCTCTGCTTACACTTACCTTCTTGGCTCTGCAAATCCCACTTCTTCAATCCCTTAGTTTCCCCTAAACAACCCTATAAATTGATTACACTTTGCTGTTCAAAAAGTGATGAAGTTAAGGATGCAAATACAAGCAAAGAGATAAAGAAGTTATCGCAACAGTCCTCATGGGAGGCTCAGGATTCTGAGGGCAAGGATTATTTGTACAGGCTCGGAGCGGAGGCTGAGAACATGAATATTGCCATTGGAGCTAGGGCTGGCGTCATCGATGACCTCTTCACTGGCAATTTCCTTGGCAAAGACTGTAATTTATTCTTTTCCTCTTCAATACTTTGCTATTATACACTTGAGACTATGTTTCGTGGCCTAGAATTGAGGTTTGTCAATTGGGATTATGTAAATTGATTACGGAATTTATTGGGTTGTGAAAAATTCGGAAACTGAATTTCCGGTTCCAGCCTTTGTATTCTAAAATATTGCTGGAATTTGAAGTGGAGTTTAATCTACAACTATTTGGCATAGATGTATTGATAAATTTTCGGTTTGTGTTTTTTATATTGTTTTTCTTTTTGTTGTTTTGGTTTATGCTAGCGGATATTGTGTTTGACTACCGGCAGAAGGTGACAAGATCATTTGAGTACCTTCAAGGTGATTACTACATAGCCCCAATTTTTATGGTACATTCTCTTATTCATGGTTGAATTTTTTATAATTTTTATTAATAATACTACATATTATTATTTTTATTATTTAATCTGACTGTTGTTATGTTTCTTTATTTTATTGACAGGACAAAGTCGGTAAGGCCACATTCAATCTACGTTAATGGTATAGAGAGGCTTTCATTAACATTTTTGATGTTGAAGAGAATGATATTTGATGCGGCAATGAACATTATGTGGTTTTTTATTCGGTGTATAAGTTACATGAAGAATAATATCTTGCAATGAACATTATGCAAAGAGCATAAATTGGGAGTTGCACATCAAGATATATGACAATAGGAGTTTTGACATTGCTTACAAATTTAGACCTCTAGGTTACGCATTCCAAAATGTTTTCTTCCTTCTATTGTACAAGGTGAAATAAATTATTTCAAAAAATTGTATCTCTTAAAAGGAGAATCTTACTTTCAAGATAAGTATCTGAGACGTGCAAGAGGCAAAGATGACTGTGACATTTTGAGTCCCAGAATATAGCAATCACAGAATACCTAGTGGTTCCCTAAATGACGTTTGCACCATAATAGTGAACATCATATTTTAAAGAGCATCATTTTCTTGGTTATGTCCAGAAACCATGCTCTAAACTTCTCCTGACTTATAGTGCCTAGGTTCTTTCCTATATGTGGAAGTAACTAAAAATCGCTATCAGCGTCCTTATCAGTATGTATTTTTTAATCTCTTGTGGTTACACCTATGACAATTATTCATCTTTGAAATCTGTGTTAAACCTATAGCAGGAATGTTTAGATAGTTTCCCTACTTTAGACTATTGGCTTTGTGTTTCCAGATGCTAGGAGACACCCAAAAATAATATTGGATCTTTACATTGTGATACTTTAAAATTTTTTGTAATTGACTGAATTTCTTTTTGAACTTATTTAGAAGAAAGGTAATTTTTTTTTTCCTTAATTGTTATTTTTCTGCGACACATACTTCATTCACATGTTTTGTTAATAATGCAGTCTGCCACATTGTGAAGAACTACATTGCTCATCTTCTCAACACCAAAGTTCCTCTTATTCTAGGTAAATGTACTTTATAATACATCGATGTAAACTTGAACACGAATATACAGTAATAATAACTGTCAGCGGAAGGAAAAAAGGAATACAGATAGATAAAATCATATGCTGAGTAGACTGCTTTTAAATTTTGTAATGCCAAATTGAGCATATTATCTCGTTTCCCTGACTTCATTTTTTACTTTGAAAATATTCATGTACCCTTTAACAAGATTTTTTTGAAGTCATCATTTTTTGTGTCTGATTGTCTCATTGTTCCGAGGACTGTCACTGTAGAGGAATGATGATATTCCAATTATCATGTTTACATATTTTTTGTTCTTCAAGAGAATAGAATTCATAGTTGACATGTTCTTTGACAGGAATTTGGGGTGGTAAAGGGCAGGGTAAAACTTTTCAAACTGAACTTATTTTCCGGGCAATGGGAGTTGAACCAGTTATCATGTCTGCCGGGGAATTGGAATCAGAAAGAGCTGGTAAGGCGGTGTTTACTTTCTGGCAGTATTAAATGAGTTTGTCACCAATATTTCTTTCAATAAACAGGCCAATATAAATGGCATTTTTAGTTTAAGAAATGTTTTTGATTTTGGTTTTTTTTCTTGACTTCCTGGTACTTATTCTCACTATTTTTGCTTTCTATAGGAGAACCAGGAAAATTGATACGTGAACGTTACAGAACTGCTTCTCAAGTGGTCCAGAACCAAGTTAGATGCTTTACTACTTTCACTTCTGGGCATATGTGTCTCTAGGATTTTGAGTTTCAAATTACTATAATTGTTGTAGGATATAGTTTTGTTTCAATTGTGCAGAAATGTTAGTCGAGTTTTCATTTACCAAGTCAATGATTTCTGAAAACACGTCTAATAAATTTTGAAGATTCCACAAAAAAGGCATGTAATTATGATTGTAGTATTCTTGGTCAGGATTGTAGTTAAACTAATTCTGAAAATAACAAGATATTTTTCTTGAAAGGGGGTATGCTTTAAAAACTAAAATAATTAGTTGTCAAACTTATTCTAAATGTTGTTTGTTCCAAATTTGATGTGGTACTACTTTCTTCATGTATGTGTTATCTCTCTCTCTCTCTAATGATGATGCTACATGTAATGAGATTTCACTGCAGCTCATTGAGAGATACAAAGTGAGTGCTAGAAAATCTCAGTAGATTTGGGTTTTCTTCTTGTGCCTTCGCTGCTCTTCTATTTAATATTATCTTTCCGTGTCTCCTAACACTCTGTAACCCCAACACCCTACAACTTCAGTCTCTGTCATAAGAAAAGATGACATCTTGACATTCTCTTTCTGTAGTGTTAAGATATGCTCGTAATTCTGTTGTTGCTGAAGCATTCTTAATACCTATGCTTTAAGCTCCAATTCAAAATGCCAGCCACTATTATTCAGAAATGTACCAAAATTTAGTTCGAGCTATGAAGAGAAGTTTCTCAGAACCATGCGCACATACATGTGTGCAGCCATTCATTGAAGTTCCATTGTGTACTCTACCCTGGTTTCTCTGTTGCTCAACCATATTCTAAGAGATCTATGTTTTCCCAAATCAGTGTAGGGAAGTGATATATTTAAGTTGTAAGTGAAAGTGGTGGGTCTAGGTTGTAACTTAGGTTAAACAATTATGGCGAATTGGAAAATTGTCCCAAATAGTTATTCTTGCATTTTTGCACCAAGCAGTATCATGGCCCATGATAACTGGTATCAATGTTGCACTGGAATTTACAATGGGATCCAGGAAAATTTTCAAAAGTAGAGGCAAACATTCAACAGAACTATTGATTCTGTAATGTAAATGGTTATTATTGTCAATGCTTTCAAAACCAAATAACCAGTCAACCGAAAGTTCCTCCTTTCGATTGTGTAATTGTCTCTTCACAGCTATTGCAGAAAATACTCTTCCAATGGCTGCCATTGCAGTAGACAGAAGCAAAACAAAAAAAAGCCTTTTAGTCTTGGCTAAATCATTCCTTTACCATTTGTGCTGAAATTCCAACCTTTGAAGAAAAATTGACTTGGCATTTAGCCAAAAATTGTTTCATGTCTTCTCTAGAGTTGACGTCTAAAGATAGAAGTCCATATGAAGAAGAATTTATGGATGGTTGTTGATGAATGATGACAGCTATATTAGTTTGGTAATTACCTACCACATAAGAAATGTAACATTGGTCAAATGGGGCAAATTTGTGTGATTTCCAAACCCAATGTCAATTTTGTACTTGGGAGGTCAATGGGGGAAGCTAACTCCACCTCCATTGTGTCAAAATAACAAGAGAGCTTTGGAAAAACAGATTTTCCCTTTGCAATAATTTCCATTAAAAGGCAGTCTGTCAAATGCTTTACAAGGAAAGAGACTCTTTATAAGGTGAAAACGGAATTGGAATATTGAAATTTTTATTCCACAATTCTGCAAAACACAACCCTATACCTCCTATTTATACTATACAATGTAAATTGGAAAAGGAAACTATAATTACCTAAGAAAGGAAATAAATCAACCTACCAATTAACCAAAAATAACAATCTAAATAAATTATAATTTCCATATTATATGACTTTCTACACTCCCCCTCAAGTTGAACTGTAGATGTTGATCATGTTCAACTTGCTGTGGAGTTCGTTGAAACTTTGTCGTGACAATCCTTTTGTGAAGATATCCGCGATTTGCTCAGTTGTAGGGACACATGTCATACAAATAATCCCATCTTCTACTTTTTCTTTGATAAAATGCCTGTCCACTTCTACATGCTTGGTTTTGTCATGTTGTACTGGATTAAGGGAAATACTGATGGCTGCTTTGTTGTCGCAATAGAGTCTGATTGGAAGTTCAACATTCACTTTCAGTTCTTCCAAGAGTTTCTTTATCCACAGCCCTTCACAAATCCCTTGAGCCACAGCTCTGAATTCAGCTTCGGCACTGCTTCTAGCCACTACATTCTGTTTCTTGCTTCTCCAAGTCACTAAGTTTCCCCATACAAATGTACAGTAGCCAGAAGTAGACCTTCTATCTTCAATTGATCCAGCCCAGTCTGCATCAGTAAATACTTCTATTCCCATCCTTTTATTTTTTCCGAAAAATAATCCTTTCCCAGAAGTGCCTTTCAGATATCTGAGAATTTTGTATACTGCTTCCAGATGAGCTTCTTTGGGAGAGTGCATGTGTTGACTGACCACACTGACTGCAAATGCAATATCAGGTCTAGTGTGTGAGAGATAGATCAACTTTCCAACTAATCTTTGATATCTATCTATTTCCACTGGGCTCCCTGTGTCCTTCATCTTTCCAGATTCAATAGGAGTGTCACTTGGTTTAGATCCTAACATGCCAGTTTCTCTTAGCATGTCAAGTATGTATTTCCGTTGAGACATACTGATGCCCTTATTTGATCTTGCAATCTCCATACCCAAAAAATACCTCATTTGTCCAAGATCTTTTATTTCAAATTCTGCGGCCAAACACTTCTTTAATCTTTCCATCTCAGCAATGTTGTCTCCAGTTAGGATTATATCATCAACATATACAATCAATATTGTCTTAGTACCATCTCTAGACTGATGAAAAAACATGGTGTGATCTGATTGTCCCTGCTGATATCCCTGACTCTTCAGCACTTTTGCAAACCTATCAAACCATGCCCTCGGTGATTGTTTGAGGCCATATAGAGACTTCCTGAGTTTACAAACCTGATTTTCCTTCCCACTTTTGTTGAATCCTGGTGGTATTGTCATGTAGACCTCTTCCTCTAACTCTCCATTTAAGAATGCATTCTTGACGTCAAGTTGTTGAAGAGGCCAGTCTAAATTCACTGCAAGGGATAGAAGAACCCGAACTGTATTTAGCTTTGCCACCGGGGCGAATGTTTCTGTGTAGTCAATGCCGTATGTTTGTGTATACCCTTTGGCGACTAGACGAGCTTTATACCGTTCTACTGTCCCATCTGCCTTGTACTTCACATTGAACACCCATTTGCAACCTACTGATTTCTTTCCTTTTGGTAGATTCACTACCTCCCAAGTCTCATTTTTCTTCAAGGCTCTCATTTCTTCCATTACTGCCTCTCTCCATTTGGGTGACTCCAAAGCTTCCTGAATATTTCTTGGAACTTCTGTTTTATCAAGATTGGTTGTAAAGGCTCGAAATTTAGTAGATAGAGCATTATAAGATATGAAATTTGAAATAGGATGGAGGGTACATGACCGAGGTTGTTTCCTGAGAGCAATAGGCAAATCATTTTCCGGAGATATGAGTTCGACAGAGGAGTTCTTTTCAGGTCCTATCGTCGGTTCTGACTCTTTTGGTGCTTCAGGTGTGAGAGTTTCTTTATACTTTGATTTAGGCTTCCGTGAGTAAACTAGTATCTCTTTATCATTTTGTGATTCGACATCTCCCCCTGGATTCAAGTTTCCTTCTGTATATGGCACATTAGAAGGTAGAGTGGCTTTTTGGTCAGTGGTGGAGAGGTTAAATTCTAAGAATTCACGATCCAACCGATCTTCACTCAAGTTCTCCCCCTGAAGAGATGGTTTCTGGAAATATGGTGTTTTTTCGAAGAAGGTGACATCCAGACTAACATAGACCCGTTTTGTGAATGGGTCATAACATTTATAGCCCTTTTGAGTGGGTGAGTACCCAATGAAAACACACTTTATTGCTCGTGGTTCAAGTTTATTTCGGTGATGAGAATGCACAAAGGCAGTGCTTCCAAAAACTTTTAGTGGGAGGTTTGAATTGATGCGAGAATTGGGAAAGTACTGTTGGAATTTATGTAAAGGCGAGGCAAATGAAAGGGTACGACTAGGCATCCGATTGATAAGGTATGTAGACGTTAAAATTGCATCTCCCCAAAATGTTTTTGACATATTTGTAGTAAATAATAAGGCTCGAGCAACTTCGAGTAGGTGTCTGTTTTTTCGTTCAGCAATACCATTTTGTTGAGGGGTGTTGACACATGAACTTTGGTGAATTATCCCATGTGTTTTTAGGTAGTCTTGCAAGGTGGTATTGAAGTATTCTGTGCCGTTGTCAGTGCGCAGAATTTGAAGTTGTGCTTGAAATTGAGTTCGAATCATAGAGTGAAAGTTTATAAATACTGAGCATACGTCAGATTTTTCTTTTAGTAGATATACCCAGCATACCCGAGTATGGTCATCAATGAATGTGACGAACCATCTTGTTTGGGTTCGATTAGGTATACGGGATGGTCCCCATAAATCACTGTGAATTAAAGTAAATGGTGTAGATGGTTTATATGTGGAATTTGGAAATGAAGTTCGATGATGTTTTGCGAATTCACAACTCTCACATTGAATATCAGTTGATGTTTTATTTGAGAATTGTAAAGGAAGTACATGTTTCAAATAGGGAAAGCTAGGGTGACCCATTCTATAGTGCCATAACAAAATTTCGCTATCCTTAGAGACAAATGCAGGATTACAACTTCTAATTTGACCTAGCTTACTCACATTAGCTTCCTCGAAGTAGTATAGACCCTCACACTCTTTAGCATTGCCAATCGTCTTCCCCGATGAAAGGTCCTGAAATACACAGTAAGAGGAAAAGAAATTAGCAGAGCAATTTGAACTTTTGGTTAGTTGACTAACAGATAGTAGATTGCAAGACAAATTTGGGACGTGGAGGACGGATTGTAATGTGATAGTGTCTGAGATTCGAATACTTCCTTTTCCTGCAACGGAGGAGAGTGAACCATCTGCAATTTTCACTTTAATATTTCCAGCACAAGTTGTGTATGAGGAAAATAAGTGGTACGAGTCCGTCATGTGGTCGGATGCACCGGAGTCGATGATCCAAGAAGTTTTATATTGTGAGGTATTTAACGCTCTCAAAAAGTTACCTTTATGGGCGAGAGAACTAGAGGGACCTTTAGGAGAGGGCTGACCAGATGTTTGAAGGCTTGAAAATATTTGATAGAGTTGTTCCATTTGTTCGGAATTGAATGCTCCGCTTGAAGTAGGAATTTTTGTTTCAGCTTGGTATCCTCGGCTCCTATTATTTTGCCTTGGCTTCCAGTCGGTAGGTTTTCCATGAATTTCCCAACATGTGTCTTCTTTGTGCCCCGGCTTGCGACAATGCTCACACCATGGTCGTCCCCGTTGTTTTTGGGTTGACCCATTTGCAGCCCCTTTTGAGAAAAGGCCCAAAGCTCCATTTCCACTTGAAAGTCCATTACCTGGAGGCCCATTATTTTCCGGCCCACTGTTTTTTTAAAAATTCACTCCAGGCCCAATATTCGGTAGCCCATTTATCTTAACAGTTGGAGGCCCATTCCCTTTGACATTTAGGGCCGACATCTCTGGAGGAGCTCCATTCCCGTCCTTCATCATCACCGATCGACGAGCTTCCTCCCGGCGAACCTCGGCGAACACTTCGCGCGTCGGTGGTAACGGTCGCCGGCCTAAGATTCTTCCTCTAACATCATCCAGCTCTCGGTTTAGGCTTGCAAGGAACTTGAACACCCTCTCATTCTCTACCTTCTTTCTGTACAGTGTGCAGTCATCTGCACACTTCCACTCCTCTTCGACGCTAAGGTCTAATTCCTGCCAAAGATTCACCATTTCCATGTAATAATCGGTCACGTCTCTCGAGCCTTGCCGGGTCTGCCACAGTCGGGATTTGATTTCAAATATGTGCGACGAGTCTTCTACATCGGAGTAAGTCTCCTTCACTGCATCCCAGACGTCCTTTGCTGTTGGGAGAAAGAGGTATGTTTTTCCGATGGTCGGTTTCATTGAATTTCCCAACCAAGCCGTCACCATGGAGTTTTTTGATTTCCACTTCTGCAGCAAGACGGTGTCGGTCGGTCTCTTGGTTTCGCCGGTAAGATACCCCAATTTTCCTTTTCCGTCTATTACTAATTTTATGGATTGGGCCCACTCTCGGTAGTTCCTTCCATTTAACTTTTCCACCATGAGTTGGAAGGTGGAGTTCTCTACTCCAATTGAACCGATTGGGGGGCTGACTTCTGTTTCGAATTCTGAAGTGGCAGAGGTCGTTGACTCTGCCATTGTTTTGCTAGGTTAGAGGAACCTGCGCTCTGATACCATGAAAACGGAATTGGAATATTGAAATTTTTATTCCACAATTCTGCAAAACACAACCCTATTCCTACATTTTATACTATACAATGTAAATTGGAAAAGGAAACTATAATTACCTAAGAAAGGAAATAAATCAACCTACCAATTAACCAAAAATAACAATCTAAATAAATTATAATTTCCATATTATATGACTTTCTACATAAGGAAAAGAGAAACTATAGGGATCTACCTTATATTCCTGAAATTTAGGATCTAAATATTGTTAAGAATATTATACAACTAGGTTAGCGTATAAAAATATTGTAATTTGCTGATGGAGTGGTCAGTCCAAATTTGCTGTAAGATTTCTTCCTCTAACTTTCCATTTAGAAATGCGTTCTTAATATCAAACTGATGGAGTGGTCAGTCCAAATTTGTTGTTAATGATAAGGGAACTCGGTTTGTATTCAATTTTGCTACATGTGCAAATGTTTCTGTGTAGTCTATACCATAGGTTTGAGTATATCCCTTTGCAACTAGACGGGCTTTGTATCGTTCGATTGTTCCATCTGCTCTGTATTTCACATTAAAGACTCATTTGCACCCAACAAGTCTCTTTCCTTTTGGTAGCTTCATTATATCCCAAGTTTCATTTGTCTCTAATGCTCTCATTTCTTCCATTACCGCTTCTCTCAATTTGGGAGTTTCCAATGCCTCTTGGGTATTTGTTGAAATTTCTATACCATCAAAGTTAAAAACAAAGGTTCGAAATCTCGGAGACAAAGTTTTATAAGCTATGAATTTTGATATAAGGTGAAGAGTACATGATTGAGTTGATTTCTTGAGAGCAATAGGTAGGTACATGATGAAAGTAGTTAAGTCCCTCACTCACCTTTGCATTGCCAATTGCCTTTCCCAATGATGGAAATACACAGTAAGAAGGAAAAAACAAATTAGTAGAACAATTTGAATTTTTAGTCAATTGGCTAATGGACAATAAGTTGCAGGATAGGTTTGGGATGTGAAAAAAATACTCTAGTGTTATAGTTTTAGAGATTTGAATACTCTATTTTCTAGCTACTGGGGAGAGTGAGCCGTCTGCAAGTTTTATTTTACGATTAACAGCACATGATGAGTATTTAACAAATAGATCGTAAGAATCTGTCATATGATTGGACACACCTGAGTCGATGATCCATGGCACTTTAGCAAGTGCGGTAGTATTTAGAGCTCTAAAGAAATTACCCTTGTGGGCTAATGAACCTGATGGGTTTGTTGTTTGGAAACTGGAAAACATTTTGTAGAGTTGTTCTAACTGTTCAGAGTTGAATGCACTACACTTGCTGGCTTTCTTCATGTCGAACCTTGACGAAGACTTCACACGTGGGTGGCAGCAGTCGACGGCAAATGATCCGACTTCGCAAATCATCAATGTTTCTGTTCAACCTCGCCAAAATTCATATACTTGCTCATTCTACGGTCTTTTCTTGTACCGAACGCCATCGCCAGGGCAGTCCCATTGGACCAATTTGCTTTCACACATTGTGCACCCATCTCTGGTGGTACTCGACAAGGACGTCAAGGGCTAAACAGTAGGTGATTCTAATATCATCATATTTGTTACTCCACATCCATTGTGGGTAAGCAAGATATGCAAGTTTCGCTTGAAGCGGTCTAGTGAGATGTGCAGTTGAGAAGCATGAGTTATGGACTAATGTTATATCTTTGCCCATGTGGTGAATAATTAGTTATTTCTTAAAGCTAGATGTCAAGTCATGTTTGCTAGCATGGTTCTGAACCCAGACATGGCACTGGTGATGTTAAATTCTGAAATTGATATCTTCCAGAGCACCTTGAGTTTAAGCAATAACTTTACTAACACACGATTGTGGATTGGCAGACAGTATAAGAAAGAGTACACCTTAGTATTCAAGATCCAGAATATTTATCTGTAATCTTCTATCATTAGAAAAGCCACTATTATCCAAGAATTCCCATCATGTTTTTTGTAATGAGTGATCTATATCTGTCTCTTTATAGGTAAGTTGTGAATTAATTTTATATAATTTCTTTTTGTTTCATACAGGGGAAAATGAGCTGTTTGATGATCAATGATATTGATGCTGGACTTGGTAGATTTGGTGAGCTAATTTTGGTATTAAATTTGCAACTGAAGTTAGATACATATTATTTGTGCATAATTGTTCAAGTTCACTATTTATAAAAGCTCATGTTTGAGTTGCTCAATAAGATTATTTATTTTTCTGCATTTGAATAATATATCAATCAAATGAGAGTCCTGATGTGTATCCCATTGTTCTCTTACCAAGGTAACACCCAAATGACTGTCAACAATCAAATTGTGGTTGGGACTCTTATGAATATATCAGATAATCCTACAAGAGTAAGTATTGGGCAAGTCTGGAGAGAATCTGACATAACACACCGGATACCGATTATCTTTACAGGAAACGATTTTTCAACACTCTATGCTCCATTGATTCGTGATGGAAGGATGGAAAAGTTCTACTGGTACACTTCTAAGTTTAAAGTTTCAATTTTGTCCTCTAGTGTTAACTACCATGCAGTATTGGTACTTTGAATAGTGGAAGCAAGAGTTCGGTTGAGCGTGTTTAGTGAAGCTTAAAAATAATTAAAATTTTTTTGCTTCCTAACTTTTGGATATGTTACTTCTTTAAGTAATAAAGTTAGTTATTTTAACCTTGTCGTCAAATAACTTAGTTATTTCTACCGTAATCAGTCAAATATGTTAATTATTCTTATTTACTTGTATGTAAACTTCTTAGTATTAACCAAACACATCTTTTCAGTCCTTGAAAGGACCAAGTTCTTTGATGTGTTAGCACAACTCAACTGATGTATCTTACTTTGCTTTTATATTTTGAGCAAGACTAATGTCTTAGTCCTTCATCAAAGACATGCCAATTTCGCTGGATAATTTTCCAGTGTTCTTGCCTTTCATTTATAGGAGGTTACAGAAATATATAAGGAAACAACTGTACAATAGGGAAATCAATCCCTGATTTTATGTGATGTGTCTAGCTAGATAAGGGAACAAATTAGAATTATTCTGTAGATTAGCCTGTAAATTGATAGGCCTCTAATACCTCCCCCTCTCAAATTGATGATGGTGAGTCCACAAGCATTAGATTGCTAACAAGAAAATTATGACGAAGACGAGTTAGAAATTTAGTGAAGATATCTGCGATCTATTGACTAGTGGAAACATGTGGTAGACCGATGACATTGGAATCATAGTCGTCCTAGATGTAATAACAGTCTATTTCAATAAGTTATGTGCTTTCATGGTATATTTGATTAGCCACAGTTTAAATAGCTCTAGTGTTGTCACCATGGAGAGAAGTAGGTTGTGATTTGGAAATACCAAGTTATGCAAGAAGACCACACAACCATACAACCTCAGAACAAGCAAGGAACATAGTGTGGTATTCAGCCTCGGTGGAGGACTTAGAAACACAGTTCTATTTCTTACATTCCCCAGAAATGAGAGTAGCACCCACCCAGAAAGATATAGTAGATTGACGAGAATCAGGACAATCGGCCCAGTCCGCATCACTGTAAGCTGTGAGCTCAAGTGGTGTCTCCCGATGGTAGAATAGACCATGATGAGGAGGTACAATAAGATAGCGAATAATGAGGCGAACAACTACCAAATAAGATGACGAGGAGCATCCATAAATTTGCTGACAGTATGCACTGCAAAGGAAATATCCGGACGGTGGAATATTTCCACATATCTGGGATTACAAAAATATGGAAACAATTAACTGTACAATAGGGAAATCAATCCTTGATTTTATGTGATGTGTCTAGTTAAATAAGGGAACAAATTAGAATTATTCTGCAGATTAACCTGTAAATTGATACAACCTCTAATAAGACATACATATTAATACCTCATAATCTTTGACGGACCATAAATGGAAATTATACTTCTCTACACCTAGGTGCGCCCTAGTATGGGTAATCTCTTATTACATCACGACCCGATTATACAATTTAATTACATGTTCTCATCTGCTTCTTTCTTAAACCTATGTAATTTGGCACAGGCAACCCACCCAAGAAGACATTGTAAATATTGTTCATAGAATGTACCAGAAAGATGGCATAATGAAGGATGAGGTTGACACCGTAGTGAAGGAATTTCCTAATCAAGGTAACTGCATATCCGTCATCTTATAATGCTTGTTTACTTATTTCATTTGCCATATACACCTAGCTTTAGTTGCATTCCTAATGGCTGAAAATATTTCTTAGAAGGTGATCATACATGTATGTTAATGCTTGTTGGGTGAGGGAATTAAAGATTGTACTGTAGTATTTTAGCTGTTTGTTAGTATGAGCTATTGGAGAGTATGGTAACTGTTGTGCCTCTAAATGACATGCTATTTTTGTGCTCATACCATACATTGCTCGTAACTGTGACTTAATGTTATAAAAGAAATTGCATAGGGAACTTGAAACAAATGTAAAAATTTTCTTCCTTTACTGTTTATCATTTATCATTTTTATCTGTTTGGCAGCCTTGGATTTTTATGGTGCTCTAAGGTCCAGAACATTTGACCGTTTTATCCTAAAGGTACCTGTTAGTAAATTATATGTGCTTTGTAATGGATGTAAGTTGTCAATTTTTACTCTTTTCTGCCTACAAATTATCAGTGCTTTGGGAATATTTGTTCTCATTTATGCAGGTGGTTAAAGAATGAAAATTAGACTGATATTATTTGTTGAAGTATTTTCTAAAAACTGATTGTCTTTTAAGGAACTACTGACTGAGAAGCTAAATTTTTTAAATCATATTATGAACAACTGACAATGAAATGTAGAATGTCTGTTGATTATTATACTCTGTCTTTGTCTCGTGAAGTGAAATCCCAGCGTAAAGAGTAGATAAATCAACGATATGATAAACAAGTATCTGTGTGTACAAGAATCCTATGGTGACAAGCAATATGTAAATCAAATAAATGTTAAAACATTGAATTCACAAAACCTCATTTCTGCATTTGAAGGAATTAATAAAATGAAATAACATCTGGTCGTGCAATGATAACACTAACCCTGTTATTGATAACCACTCATAATTTGCTTCTCCAATGGTAATCTTTCTGACTGACGAACAATACCGTTAGATCATACTACCTCTGGCTATATTAACTTTCCTTACTGTTAATAATGTTAGTATAAAAGTGTATGTTACGTATGTATGTATGTATGTAAACACACACACCCATATATATGGCCTAGTAAGATCTCGCTTTATGAGCTTATCATCTAGGTCCCATATCTCTTATATAAGTCAATTTTTCATTAGATATTTGTCTGTTAGTGTTATTAATTACATGCTTTCAATTTTATTTTTACTGCAGTGGGTTGATGATGTTGGAGGTGCTGAAAACCTTGGTATAAGGCTTCTTAAACAAAAAAAGGATGGAAAGCTTCCGGAATTTGTTCCTCCTAAGGTAGCCCCGGAAAACTTATTATCATAACTAATCTGCTTCCAATTTGCTTTCACTTATGGATATCTGATCTGTGTGAACAGTTAATTTCTGTTTAGTTTTTGAAATAATGTTGATGCAAAATGGACTTCTGAAATATACATGGGAAATTCACTTATCTGATTTATTAAATAAAACAAAAATAAAAAGAGAGAGCTTGAGGCTTCCTGTTGAAGAAATCTAGAAATATATTCCAGGAATGCTAAGAAGACCTAAGGATTCAGGTAGGCTATTACCTGGATTCTATGTTTTCTAATTTTCCTAGATTAGCTATTCTCCTAATTTAAATAGTAAGTTTAGGAAGTCAAAATATTTTTGTATCCCAAAATCAGAGGAGAAGATTAAGTTCTATTCTCTATTTATTGTGTATATTTTCATTGTAATCAAATAAGAGGAAATTATCTTTTCTACATGGTATCAGAGCTTTTCTGGAACATCTCTTTCTTCTCCCCCTCTTCTCTCCATTCTCCTCTCTCGGTGTCCTCATGACAAAATACAGGATGGCCCCGCACATGAAACAGTCAACATTGACTCCTATGGAGGTTCTGATAACAGCCCTCTTCTTATCAACGACCACAAATTAAATGGTCACAACTATCTCCAATGGTCACAATCCGTTATGATGTTTGTATGTGGAAAAAGTAAAGATGATTACCTCATCGGGGAAGTGATTACTCCAAAGAAAGAAGTTCCAGCATTCAAAGTCTGGAAATCCGAAAATAACATGGTGATGTCTTGGCTTATTAATTCGATGACTAATGACACTAGAGAAAATTTTCTTCTTTATGGTACAACAAAAGAAATTTGGGATGCCACCAAAGAAACATATTCCAGCTCTGAGAATATCTCAGAATATTTTCTGCTGAAAGCTCTCTTCATGACATTTGACGTAGAGATTCATAAGTCACCCAATATCTCAACTCCCTCAAACGACACTGGCAACAACTTGATCTATTCGAAGTACAGAGTGGAAGTGCCCTGGAGATGGAACTCTATACAAACAAATCATCGAAAAGAAACTCTTTAAATTCTTGATGGGTTTAAACAAAGATCTTGATGGAGCGCGAGGGAGAATTCTAGGAACAGAGCTGCTGCCAAACATTCGTGAAGCCTTCTCAGAGATTCGTCGGGAGGAAAGTCGCAGAAAAGTTATGACAGAGTCAACAAATCTCTCACCCACTGTAGAAAGCTTTGCACTTGCTGTCCATGCTTCCCATGGATTCCATCAATCTTCAAACGCTGATAACCGGCCAAGAAGGGGACGTCCATGGTGTGATCATTGTCGCAAACCCAGTCATCTCATAGGTCGTTACTGGAAGATTCATGGAAAGCCTGCGGAATAGAAATGTACACGTCCTGCAAGTGACAAAGAAAGTCATGGACACCTTGCCTCTAAGAACACCAATTCCACTTCACAAAAATCGAATCTATTCAGCAAAGAACAAATGGATCTCCTCCAAAAAAATGTATAATCAATCATAAGAAAATTCTGCATCCTCGTCTACAGTGATTGGTTCAAGCTCTTTGGCCCAAATAGGTACTCTACTAAATGCCTTGAATGTAAAATAAGTAAAACTTGGGCCATGGATATTAGATTCTGGTGCATTTGGATCATATGAAGGGTGATATCTCTATCCTAAACAATTATAAACAAAACAATGAAGCTCTTTGTTAGAATTGCTAATGGTTCACTATCTAAAGTTGTTGGAACTGGATTTGTCTGCGTCTCAGAACAATTGACCCTAAAATCAGCCTTATTTGTGCCTAATCTCAAATGTAACTTGTTGTCTATCTGCAAACACACCCATGACCAGAATTGCAGCGCCAAATTTGTTTCTAAACTTTGTGAATTTTAGGATTTGGATTCAGGGAAGATGATTGACAGTGCTGAAGTGTGTTTGGGACTTTATTTCCTCAAATTTGACAATTCTTTAGGGATGCAAGAACTAAACGCCAGGTCCACAAGTCAATTCCAGATTAACACTGTTGGGTTTTTGATATCCAATAAATCCCGGGCTATGATGTTAATGTGGGAATGTCTATTTCATAGGTTCAGGCCGATGAATGAAATAAGTACTAACAATCAAGTTCAAAAGCTCTACCCGGTCCAATTATATTACTTATTGGATAGCTTTGAATCTTGACCCCGTTTAGCTTTGTTATTGGCCCAATTAAAAGCCTAACTTACCCATATTCATATGGTTTAACCCCTAGCCATTTTAGTGGGTGATTTGTGTGCGCAAAGTGAAGAAAATCGGCTGCCCCTTTGAAGAGAGAATCCGGCTCCTTTGTGGTACCCAAAACCGATGGATTCCTTTGTCGATTTTGGTCTCTTTCTTGCCTCCTTTGCAGTGTTTTTCTTCTTACTTTTGTGGCTAGAAATCATCACCATTATCTTATCCTTTGTGGGTGAGATTGAGAAGCAATCAAGGTGAATATATTGGTTGTGGATCGTAGTAGGTTGGATTGGTTGTTTGGTAGAAAAATTTAACGTTGAACTGAGCCCGGAAAACGTTGTTTTGACGATCCTTGGAGCAAGCTTCCTCGACAAACACTCTTTCTCGTATTGCTTTTAATAATGATAGTGAAATAATGTTATATAACTATCGATTAGGTCATCCAAGCTTCTTATATCTTGAGAAGCTCTTTCCTTTGCTATGCAGAAATAAAAATTTGAAAACCTTCTCATGTGAATTTTGTTAAATTTCAAAATATGTGAGAAATTCTTATCCAAGTCTTTCTTATAAACAATCACATCCTTACTCACTAATTCATTCTGATATTTGGGAATCTTCTAAAGTTAAAAATATGACTGGAACTTGTTGGTTTATCTCCTTTAAAGACGATCATACTCGTGTCACATGGATATTCCTAATGAAAGAAAAATCTGAGGCTGGTCAAGTATCCAAAATTTCAACTCCATGATATAAACTCGATTCCAAACAAAAATACAAGTGTTAAAAACCAACAATGTACAAGAATATTTTTCCTCGATCCTAAATGATTATCTATTGATTCCGGGAATAATACACCAAAGCTCCTGTGTTGACACACCACAACAAAATAGAGCAGTTGAAAGGAAAAATAGACATCTTCTTGAAGTTGCTCGGTCACTTATGTTTACAACTCATGTTCCTAAACATATTTGGGGGGAAGCAGTTTTAATAGCAGCATATCTCATAAATAGAATGCCCTCTCGTGCACTCAACTTTCAAACTCCGAGTCGTACACTTCTCAAGTCATATCCAAACACTAGAATTATCTCAACCATTCCCATGAGAGTGTTCGGTTGTTCAGCTTATGTCCATACTCATTCACACAATAGGAGTGAAGTTGATCCTAAAGCACTTGAGTGCATATTCATTGGATACTCATCTAATCAGAAAGGATACAAATGTTATTCACCTATCACTAGATGTGTTTACTACTCCATAGATGTCACTTTTGCTAAATAAAAACCATATTATCCCAAAACTGATATTTAGGGAGAAAATTACTCGCGTGAATATTAGTTATGGGACATTATTTCTCATGCTATCACTTCTCTAGAATATTCCATGTCCACCAATCCAAATTTTTCCGCTCAAGCTGAAATCATAAGTGATGTTTCTACAAATCTCAAGTCACGTGTCTCCTAACCCGGATTCGTACAACCCAACCACAATAAACCTTGAGTGACTTGTCTATTCCAGGAAAAAAAGGATATAAGGAGTAGAGCATCCTATGCACTATCAGCAAATTTAGGAGTCTAATTCGAGTTCAGACTAACCTGAAAATTCTCAAGGAAACACCTCCACTGAACCTATCAATATTGAGTTGCCTAATGACCCCTTGATAAAGCCAGTTGCTTTGAGAAAGGGTATAAGATCTTGCACAAATCACCCTATCTCTGAACTTATCAATATTGAGTTACCTAATGAGGACTTTGACCGAGCAATTTCTTTGATAAAAGGTAAGACCTTATCCTAAGCACCATTTCTCTAACTTTGTTTATTACGAGGGTCTATCCTATAGTTTCCGTGCATTTATCTGCAATATCAATCAGGTTCTCATTTCGAATTCCATACATGAGGCAATCAAAGTACCTGAATGGAAAAAAGCCATCTTAGAGTAGATTCAAGCACTAGAAAAGACAACAGATGGGAGATCACCAAGTTAACATTGGGAAAGCGACCGATGGGTTGCAAATGGATTTTCACTATCAAATACAAAGATGATGGTAGTTTAGACAGGTTTAAGGCACATCTTGTAGCAAAAGGATACACTCAACCCAATGGAATTAATTATCAAGAAACCTTCTTCCCTGTAGCAAAACTCAACATTGTTCGTGTTCTCCTATCTCTTGCATCTAACTTGGATTGGCCACTTTACCAATTAGATGTCAATAATGCTTTCCTCAACGATGACCTTGTAAAAGAAGTCTACAAGGAGATTCCCTCTGGTTTTCATACATCTACTACAGTAACAAAGTCTGCAAACTCAAAAAGCCGTTATATGGTTTAAAGAAATCATCACGAGCTTGATTCAACGGACCAAAATGGCTAAACAATATAGGTAACAGCAATGTCAAGATGATCATACTCTATTCATCAAAAGATCTCTTGAAGGTAAATCAACCATCCTAATAGTGTATGTAGATGACATTGTTCTCACGAAGCTTTTTCAAAAGAAATGGGCAGACTTAAAAGTCTCCTAGCCAAAGAATTCGAAATCAAGGACTTAGGAAATCTCGAATATTTCCTAGGTATGGAGGTGGCTCGATCGCAAAAGGAAATCTCAGTCTCATAACGCAAATACATACTAGGTCTACTTGAAGAAACAAGGATGTCAAGATGCAAGCCAGCAGAAACTCTGACTGATTCTTCAGTCAAACATGGAAATAAGAATGATACTCCTCCAATGGATAAAGGCCGATATCAAAGACTAGTAGGCAGATTGATTTATCTCTCCCACACTCGTCGAGATATTAGCTTCTCAATTAGTGTGGTCAATCAATTCATGAATAATCTTACAGAAGAACATAAGGAGGCAGTTTACAAAATCCTAAGATATTTGAAGATGATACCAAGGAAGCGACTCTTCTTTTAGAAAACAAAAATACGAAAATTAAGGTATTCAATGATGCTGAGTAGGCATGATTAGTTATAGATCGTAGATCCACTTCAGGACATTGTACTTTTGCATGGGATAACTTGGTAACATAGCGAAGTAAAAAGTAACTTGTAGTTGCTTGAAGTAGTGCTGAAGCCAAATTCAGAGCAACGGCCCATGGAATGTGTGAACGAATATGGTTAAGAAGACTCCTCAATGCATTGCTCATTTTTGTGGAAGAACATGTGGCTATGTTTTGTGACAACCAAGCAACGATAAGTATCGCAAAAAACCTTGTTCAACATGATCGGACCAAACATGTCTAGATAAATCATCACTTTATCAAGGAGAAAGTAGACAGCGGGATCATGTCTCTTGTACATATTACACTTGCCAACAAACTGCAGACATTCTCACTAAGGCTTTTCCTCGGATGAACTTTGAAGAACTAAGTTCCAAGTTGGGTATGACAAATATTTACCACCCAACTTGAGGGGGGTGAAGAAATTTAGAAATATCCACATAATCAAGCTACATGAACTCCAGGAATACTAAGAAGATTAAAAGATTTGGGTAGGCTATTACCCAGATTCTATATTTTCTAGTTTTCCTAGTTTAGCTAGTTTCTTAATTTAAAGGAGTAAATTTAGGAAGTCAATATTTTTTTATCACAAAATCATAGGATAAGATTCAATAATGTTATTTAGCTCCACTAGGTTGCACCCTAAAGTTTAGGTGGCATTAGATGATAAGCTAAATGAAATGTGAAATTAAATAAGTGTAGTGCCACCTAGACTAAGGTTGCAATTCCAGTGTGACTATATAGCATTACTCGATAAGACAAATCTCTATTCTCTATTTATTGTGTATATTTTCATTGTAATCAAATAAGAGGAAATCATCTTTTCCACACTTGTAAATGTGAAAGGTTTTGTAATATCTTAAATTATTGCAGAACATGGTTTTCTTAATCCTAATTTGTTTCAAATAAAAGGAAAAAAGTTACCACTAATTTGCATCATTGTTCGCCTTGAAATTGAGTTGAGTACACACCTGGGTGTCTACACTGTTAGAATCTACAAAGTATATACAATTTGAGATGGCTTTATGGCTTTTAGTATAGAAACTCACTAAAATTTGTAGAAAGTAATTGCAAGTAAGAACTACAAAAAGATTATTTAAAACTCATTTTTTACCAAATTTATTTCAATCACACGTTCTCACAACAAAATAATTTTCACTTGTACCCTTAACTTTTCCCTACTTTTTAATCATTTATTATCCAAAAAAAAAATCACTTTTCACAAAATTTGTTCTCAAGAAATCTACATCAAACAAGCTCTTAATTTATCTAGTAGGAAAGCCAAAAATTAAATGATGGCTTGAAATCATCAATATATAACTTGGAAATTATACGGAATGAGCATACTTCTACAATGTTTCTCATGTTTAAATCTTCAGTTCTTTATTCATTTTCCCTTTCGAAATAATTCAACTTTCTCATAGAGAAGTGGGGATGGGTGTTTAATCGTCTTGTTGCATTTTGCTGCAACAGCAAACAGTGGAAGCTTTACTTGAATCAGGATATGCTCTCATCAAAGAACAAAGGTTAATAAATGAAACTAAACTTTCAAAGGAGTACATGAAGAACATCGATGACTAGCAAGCTGGATGAAGTTTCAATGCCATTTAGTGTCTTCCATTTTGGTACGTTGCACAGAATCAAGATTATTTGAATTGTATATTATCAACAAGTTATATGAATATGAGGGCTTTTTTGAAGCGGTCTTTCTTTGTCACACTTGCATGTTAACAATTAATTATGCGCACAATTACCATATTAGTTTTGACTGTCAAGGGAATACATGTAAGATGCTTCTATCATAGGCCTTCAAAGGTATTTTTGTAATCATGTTTTCAAATTCCACTTTATGTACTGTGATGTGAGAGTTTGATCAAGTCGAATTGAGCCATCAACTTTTACTTCATATAGTGGACAAGTTGGATGGTAAGTCATAGATTTTCAAGTAGGTGGTGACTATTTTTCCCTTTCTTAGTGATGTAAAGAACCTGTTTTCTTTTACTTTATAATTTGCTTTATGAACCTATGAAATTGGGTAAGTGCGTCTATGCGTGCTTGCTCGACTTATTTTAATTTTCAAAGATTATATTTTCCTGTATCTCTTTAGAATATGTTGGAGCTTTTTCAGATAGGAGTATTGAAGTTGAAATTGTGCTTCAAAAAACTTGAATAAAAGGTCAAAAAGTGCATTAATTTTAAATCAGGTTAATTTCACTAACGGTCACTGAACTTACGCGAAAATTACAAAGTGGTCACTGAAATTTAAAACTTTCAGTAACGGTTATTTAAGTTTCAGGGTGCTTTCAAAAACGGTCACTGAAATTTAAAAACTTTTAGAAATGGTCACTGAAATTTAAAAACTTGCGGAAATGGACACTAAAATATAAACACACTTTTTCAGTTTTTTGAGCTACTTTTGCGACAACTTTTTGATCACTTTCGACCATTGATACTGTTGGAAGGCCCAAAATGTCCTCTTCAATTATGACCCAAAATCTTGGGGATTCGACCGAAAAATCATTGCAAAATTCGCCCAAAAAATTTGGGCAAATTTTTAGATTTTTGGGGCGAATTTTGCAGGATTTTTTGGCGACTTTCGACCATCAAGATTGCCGGATTTTGATACCATTGGAAAGTTCACAATGTCCTTTTCAATTACCATCCAAAACGTCCTCCAATTCTAAAGGATTCGGTCGAAATAAACCCTCAAATTCGACTACCCAAAAAGGCGAAAGCTTGGGCAGATTTTTCTTATTTTTTGGGCTCCTTTTGAGGCAACTTTTCGGTAATTTCCGACCACCAATACTACCGAATTTTGAATTGTTGGAAAGCCCACAATGTCCTCTTCAATTACCACCAAAAATCTCCCCCAAACTCCAAAGGATTCGGCCGGAATAAATCTACAAAGTTGGCTACCCGAAAAGGCGAAAATCAAGGCAAACTTTTCAGTTTTTTGGGAGACTTTTGCGGCAACTTCTGGCCATCAAGATTGTTGGATTTCGATACTGCTAGAAAGCTCCCAATCTCCTCTTCAATTACAACCCAAAACCTCTCCATAACTTCAAAGAATTTTGCCAGAATAAAGCCACAAAGTCAGCATACCGAATTTGTGCAGATTTTTGCCTTTTTAGGTAGCCGAATTTGTGGGTTTATTCTGGCCGAATCCTTTGGAGTTTGGGGGAGATTTTGGATGGTAATTGAAGAGGACATTGTGGGTTTTCTAAGGTATTAAAATCCGGTAGTCTTGGTGGTTAGAAGTCGCCGAAAAATCGCAGCAAATTTCGCCCGAAAAATATGAAAATTTGGGTAGATTTTCAGATTTTTTTGGCTACTTTTGCGACGATTTTCCCGGTCGAATCCCTTGAAGTTATGGGGAGATTTTGGATTGTAATTGAAGAGGACATTGCAGGCTTTCCAATGGTATCAAAATTTGCCGGTATCAATGGTCAGAAGTGATCGAAAAGTTGCCGCAAAAGTAGTCCAAAAAACTGAAAAAGTGTTTAAATTTCAATGACCGTTTCTGCAAGTTTTTAAATTTCAGTGACTATTTCTGAAAGTTTTAAAACTTCATTAGGAAATGGAGCTTGAACTCATCATAACTTAAAAGCTTAGGGGGAGGGGGTTCTCTTCCAGCCATCCACTTATTTAGTTCTGGCCCTTCCCGAATCTCATAGACATGTCTCATCATTCGTGGGGGATCGCTGGGGTGTCTGGAAATTAGTGCTCACCCCTCTCTGTCTCGTTACCGGTCTCAAGACTTAAGTGACCGTTACTGAAAGTTTTAAATTTCAATGACTTTTGTAATTTTTGCATAAGCTCAATGACCATTTGTGAAATTAACCCATTTTAAATTTGATTTTCTATTTTGTGTGTTTGTATGTGAGTTGAATTGATGGAAAGGTCATTTATATTCTAATAATAAGAGAATATAAGACCAGAATGCTTTATTTGTCACTTCACAAATTATTTTCAAAATTGAGGAACATGATTGGTCGCACCATTGTGCTTCAACTTTGTAATTGATGAGTAGAGACTAGCTCGTTGCAGACCATAGGCTAGTCTCTAAGCCTCGAGGAAAGTATATTTAGTTGATCAATTATTGATGTTTTTATTTTTGTTGATTTTCGTTTATTTCGAGAAATCTATTGATCAATTTCAATTCTCTCTCCCTCCTCATTTTTATTTTTTTATTTTTGGAGCAAGATGTCTATATCTTATTTGTAGATTAATGGAAATGGACAAAAACTCCATTGCCTTTGCCATCTTACAAGTCTCCTCTGTTTTGTACATTGCATTGTCACTCCTTTGACAATATCTACTAATTTAGAACTTAATTTGAAAAGTTATATTTCAAACTTGATATTTTTAAAATGTTGCTAATAACCAACAAATGGCAAGTACTTTCCCTTCTTGTTAAGAGTAGTTATTTATATTTGCTTATGATCAAATATAAGATTTTAAACTTGAATAGAATTAAAAGAACAATAAAATTGACTTGTGTTAAAGATTAAAGACTCCAAGCCCTTTGGTTCTTCTTGGCATCTGTAATTTTGGCACAAGCCTTAAAAGAAACAGTTTGAGAAGGTTCAATTAGCTGAAATGAATTTCTAGACTCGTGTATTTATCGACATCTAGTTCATAAAAAAAGTCAGTATTCAGCTACCAAATTTATTTTGTACACGATGGGGTTTTTTCTTTTAATGGGGGACTTCTAGGTATCGGTTTATGTGGTTCTAATGAACCAACATTAAATTTAGAAATATTAGCCAATCAATCCTATCCTGTGTCCTTGGAAATAATATTTTATATTGGATTTTTTATTGCTTTTGCTGTCAAGGGGAATATCTAATCGAGGTAATTATATTTGTTTCGGTATATATGCTCTTTAGGCACTTGAACCTGCTTACAATCCCCACCACGGAATAGTGCACCTACACGCCTTCATCGATGTTCAACCTGGTTTAACAACAGCTACCCAATATTCAGGGGATCCCTTTCCCGAACCCATACGTGTTTCAGCAGGTCTTACTGTAATCGATTTGTTTGGAAATATACGGACTCATATTTTTCCACCACGACGTGCATTTCGTGTTATTGCTCGTCGACCTGCTTGGCTTGCTTCGATTTGCCTGGATGTGATCCAAGTAGGTTCAAGTGCCTGAAGAGCATATTTACCGAAACAAATATGATTACCTCGATAAGATATTCCCTTCATTCTTCCTCCATGTTTACGGAATCTAGTTCTTTTGGGGTTATAGTTGATGGTTGTCTCACAATTCCATCTCTACTACAGAACCGTGAGGGTTAATTAAGATTTATGTCTCATGCTCTCTTGAAAATACGTCATATGAGTTTAGTCCAAATTTAGGTATTTTTTCCATGTTTGGTTCGTTGAATTAAATTGAATTGAGAGACTTGTGAGATTCTTATATTTTGTTATGCTAAATCATAATTAGTTTAGTTAATTGGCGCACTCGTGATAATCACAATCCTCATACAATCACTTTTCGCCTCATACTTTGTAGAATAATCCAAATTGATAATGTAAGTTAGGACTTCTGAAGTTGTTGAGTGATATGAATTTGAGGTGCCATCTCTTGATATGTTGAAACTTGAAACCCATCATTTACAAGAAGATTAAACCCACTACCTTTCCTTTTCAGGGCAATTCATAAATAGATATTTTCTATCCAAATTCCGGTGATTTTTGGAAATTAATTTTAAAATTTTTCGTGATTCTTTGGTACTAAAACATAATTAAAAAATAAAAATAAAAATACGATAAGTAATTTAGGCTTATTTTAAAATAAATAAGTTTTTGATAAAGTAAAAAATAAGTGAAAAGAAAATTTAAAAGTAACATCTACTATCAATGTAAGTAATTTTTTTATTTATAAGTAAGAAAAAATAATATTTATGTAAATTAAACTTGATCCTGACATGCAGAAAGTTGAGAGCATTCCAATAAGTGAAAAGAGAGATCATCTGCAACTATGTTAATGTTGTTTAATATAAATAAAATACATATTGGCTTCTGATCTTTAAAAATATGATGCATTGCAGGTGGGTTAGTAAAAATACTGAATTCAGAGTTCTTTCAACTTTTTTTTTTTTTTTTTTTTTTTTTCTCTCTTGGATTTTAGTATCATTTTGAATAACGATTGTACGTTCAATTTAAAATTTTGATTCTTAAATTCACATATATTCTACAAAAACTTATTTATAAACGTTATTCTACAAAACTTATTTAGACGTTTGATCGTAATTATTGCTAATTTTTCATTTTATTTAATTAAGATGATTAGAGATTTGATATTTAGAAGAAGCTATGTGAGTTGAAAGCTACCAAAACTAGGGACTTATCGAGAACTAACTATGCTTGTTGAACTTGATCAACAATAACGAAAGCTTTATCTATTTGTTTGTCATGAAAATTTGTCATAGTGAATAATATCATTAGATGTTCCATGGAGGAATTCGTCCATACCATCGGTAAAACGTGGAAGATTGCGATTGATTTTGAAAAGGAAAAAAATAAAAGTATGTCGTATCAACGGAGTGTTTTAAGTCTATTTCATTTTTATCGTATCGGCACAAATCCTATTCAAATTTTTGGAACAGAACAAAAAAAGTTGGATTGTGTTGACACATAAAAATTCAGCCCAAATCGAACGGCCCAAGGAATGAAGCCCAATTGGAGGATCCCCAAATCAGATAGCCCAAAGAACGAAGCCCAATTAGACAATTCAGGATGAAGGCCCAAATATGGAGGCCCATGAACGCGGTAACACCATCTCCCAAGCTTGTAAGTCGCCTAGGATCTGAGCGAATGGAATGTCATGCAGTCGCCCAGAGCTGCTACTCTATTCTTGCTCAAACCTTCGAGTCGCCCAAGATCTTAGCAAA